TGGGCTTGTGGTGCCCTTGCTCCAGCAATATTCAGAGCCAGGGGCCCTGCTCCAGCAATATGTGGAGCTGGGTCTCTCCCCCAGCCCTGCCTGGAGCGGGCCCCAGCCCCCACCTGCTGGCCCCCCCACGCATCCCCCCGGCCCTGGGCCGTCCTGGCCGTGCGCAGCATTCAGTCAGCTTCCCCTTGCCGGTGCGTGCTGCTGCTGCTGCTGCTGCCATGCGCGGTGTTTCCAGGTGACCAGGGAGACGTCCGGGCGTGACGTCATGGCCCAGGACTTTAAAACTGGGAGAGGAAGAGGCTTGTGCGGAGGGGGACGGGAAGGGGTGGGAGACGAAGAAAAATAGGGGGAAGGGGCTTGTGCTAAGAGGAGGTCCGGAGGGGGACAGGTCAGGAGGAGAAAGGAGAAGGCACCAATGGACGAGTGCAGGAGGGACAAATGCCAGGGGGCCAAGTGGAGACTAAGGAAAAGGGCAGGAGGGGAAGTGTCAGTGAGAGGGAGGGGGGGACAGGGTGATGCTAGGAGAGGAGAGGGTAAGGGCATTGAAGCTAGAGGGGGGAGGTGCTGGGAGAAGGCTTGAAAGAAGGGGTGGGCATGAGGAAGGAGGGGATGTGTGAGGGCACAGAGGCCTGAGGGGAACAGGGGCAGAGGGTGGTGAGGGGGTGGCATCAGGGGGCAGGGACAGTGAGGGAAGGGGGAGGCACCAGGAGGGTGCAGGTGCCAGGGGATTCTGGGTGTGAAGCAGAAGGGTGGGGGAGGGACCAGAGGAGAGAGGCAGGGCAAGTGTGTAGAGGGAGGTGTTAGGAGAGGGGATGAGGAAGGGGGGCTCACATGATCAGAGTGGGGCTACTGGAGGAGTGGGCACAGGGGGGAGAGAAGGGCTGGTGGATGGGGGCAGGTCGCAGGAGGGCTGAGGGCAATGAGAAGGGAAGGAGTCAGGACAGCAGAGGAGGGTGAGGAGTTGGGGGGCAGCAGGCACCAGGGGAGCTGATGGAGCAAGGGGAGGAGACATGGCAGCAGAGGGGAAAGGTAGAGGTTTATAAAATATTTATTAATAACTTGGGTGCCACAGTGGCACATCCAAACAAGCCCCATGAACTCAGTACTGGTGCACAACACAAAACTCATTCTGCTCATGGGAAGATGTCGTACAAGTTCCCCTCGGCTGTGCACCAGGTTCGGGCCGTGCCAAATTGCGGCGGGGGGAGGGAAGGGTGCAAATTTTTCCTTTGCCCCCAGGCGCATAACACCCTCGCTACGCCTCTGCTTGGCTTAGCGATTACTGAACATCAATTAAAGCACAAATCACACTGCTCTGCTCTCCTGCTCCAAACATGTACTGTGAATTAACCAGGCCCATAAAGCAGTTCAAGTGCCAAGGTTTTAACCAATCTGTCACCTTGTGGATTATGTCTACGCAGCAAAGAAAACAGATGTCTGGATGTTGTGTAGCGATACCCTCAGGGCACAGTTAGCACAGCAATCACAGCACTGGCTTAAAGAGGATCACTCTAGGAGAATATATTCTCTCGCCAATTCTAAGATGATGATAAAGCTTTGTACTCCCAGAAGATCAGAGGACACCATCTAAGTCTCACAAGAGTCTAGTCAAGTGGGGAGCATTATTATTCCCATTTTACACATGGGAGTGCAAAGGCAAAGAGCACATAAGTGACTCAGCCACTGTTGCAGTGAGTTTGTGACAGATGCAGAAATAGAACCTAGGAGTCCTGAAGCCCCATCTTCTGCTCTAACCACTAGACACATTATCTCCAGTCCACTGAATGGTCCTAAAAACCTTATAATAAACTGGTCAGGCATGGGACTTAACCTACACATTTTTTTCCATATCTATCTTCCACCTCCATGGCCCTATAAGTCCATCCACTGTTGTAACGCTGGGTCCAGTTTAGATTTAATATTCCCAGGAATCGGCACGTTTCCTTTCAAACACTGAACAGCTCGTCCTGTCCAGAGACTTCCCCAAGAGCAGAGCTGCAGGTCCTCTGGTATGTACCTTACCTATGTATTTAAAGAGGGTGCTGCTGATTCCTGCTAGCAGAGAAAGGGTTATCAAATCTCCAAGGCTCGCTGCTATGGGAGTGGCGATATTGTCTGGATTGATCCCCACCTTCCGTGCACAGATGATTACGCCGATCATCACCAGACCTAGGGAAGAAGCAGACCAGGGGTTCAGACACAGAGGACAATGCTGTATTTTGTGGGGGCTCCGCACTCTGCCAACATTGGCCTGGTTCCAGAATGGCCCAAGGTGGCGTAAAGTTGCCTTTGCCAGTACTTAGATGCTGCCCCAAGCACAGTTCGGTCACACCCAGCAAAAGGCCCCATTGTTCTCACTGACGAGCAAGGCTCTTCCACAGAAGACATAATCAGAACAGACCCATGGGGATAAACACAGCAAAGCAAACACCGCAGCTCAGTGCAGACACCACTGCATGGCCCAAATGTACATGCTTCCTTTCATCAGGCTAGTCTCTACTGGATTGAAGTAGGACCGAGAGCAAAGCACGCTCATAAATATGCATCTCTGGCATCACATCTAGATTCCACAGCACAAAGGCATGTTTCAGAATGGAATTCAGTATTATTCAGACTTCTTCTTTTGATTCTGAATTCCCACGTGGCATGGGCTGCTATTATAGGTTACAAGCATCTCCACACCCCCAGCATAAGGATCTTGGCTGGGTATTCCTTTCCCCTAGTGATCCCTGGCTCCCAGAACAGCTGCTTGGAGACCGCAGCTCTCTGAGCTGTTTTAATTTACAAGGGGGCCTGGCCTGGAAGAAGGACACTTCAGGATCAAGGAGATATCAGAGTGTTTCCTAGCCACATACACACCCCCATCCCGAAGTTTGCCAAGCAAAATTCAGCTGCAGTTCAGGACCTGAGTCACAGTCTTAGGCTACGTGGTGAGGGAGTAATTTTGACTTTTTAATATAAGCTGGAAAGGCCAAGACGAAATGCCAAAGAACAGGTGAGAATCAGATTCTGAGAATGGGAGAATGCCCCGTGACAACAGTCCAAACCAGCAGAGAGTGCAGCAAAATGCTTTGGAGACTCACAGCAACAATAACAGTTCAGTTCACTTCACTTGAGAAAATGAGACCTTGGCAGAGATCAGAAAAAAAGTCTATCTGTGGGCAAGTCAACCACTAGATACATTTATCAGGATGACTCCTCTGTATTCTGACTGCTAAGGGCAGCAGTCTCCAAAACCCACGTCAAATTACCTTGGAGCCTCCCAGCGCATCATGTCCTCTGCCACTGCCCCACGGCACTATGCTGACCACTGATGGCGTGGCGCTGAGGAGGCAGGAAAGGATAACACCCTTGTTTGCTCGCAAAGACTTCCAAGCGCTGAGTCTCCATGCATGCCTGGAACATACTGCACTCTTCCGAACACCACACCTCCAGCCCCCTAGACCAAAGCTCACACACATACGTCATCTCACCTCTAACACGTGTACAAAATGCTCCCCCAAAACACGCAAACACATCTTCCCCACAGAGCAAATCACTTGTCTCCCCTTCGACACACAAACACAACCTGCTTCCTTTGTTACACACACCCACACAACAGTGACTTGTCACTCTAGCTAGGAAAAACACTGTCAATGGAAGGTCTGTCGAAGTCCTTCCTTTTTATATCCAGTCAGATCCTTGGAGGAACAAAGGTTAATAAAAGCAGTGAGGTTTTTAAGAGACTTCTGAGAACTAGTCTAGTGCTTCTCAGTACATGTATCTCCATTGTTCTTGGACTCTGGCCTGGGTACATCCCTATGTTCTGACTTGTCCTCTTTTTCTTAGAAAACTCCATGTGTGCAGGGCAGCTGAAACACACAAGGTTGCCAATTTTGTTTGGATGTATTCTTGTAGGTTTTGTTACATGACATAATCTTGAATTAAAGATTAATCTTTAACTTCTGGAGACTCCAGGGCAATCCTGGAGGATTGGCAACTGTAAAAACAAATTGCTGCCCACTCATTCACTAATAAAGATGTTACGCCACCCTCTTGTGGCAGATGTGTGAATTCCTACTCTTCCCTTTCACCAGACACTCCTTGCAATGACATCACCATGGACTGGCCTGCCAAGAATGCTGCTCTATTTATCTTCATTTCACAGATGGGGCAGACAGCTAGAGATGAGAAGTGATTTTGTCCAAGTTCAAAAAGTCAGTCAAAGACATAACCAGGAATAGAACTCAAGGGTGCAGACTTCCAGCCCCTTGCTTTAAGCACTCGATCATACTGACCTACCCTGGACTTTGCTTGAGGAAAGGGACAGCTCTGACAGCCATTTCCCATCCCTTGTCACAAGCATACACATTTCCCTAGCTGGGCATGCTCCGAGAGAGAAGTGCGAGAGAGAGAGATGCGGTGAAAGAGCAGAGCCAATTAATGGTCCAGTCATCGGGTGCAGGAGAAATCACAAAACTCAGAAATCAACAGACCACAGAGGACAAAAACAGATCACAGAGGATTGGGCTTCAGGACACAAGAACAACAGGGATTAAAAGGGACATGGAGCAGAAGAGCCCAGACAACACACCTGCAGCTCCAAGAAGGCATTCAAGAAGAGAGCAGACAACACCCATAAGAATTCTATCCAGATGTGTGCATGGATCAGGACCCCAAAAAGGACCTCAAAGTCACAGAGAAGCCCCATGACCAACTTCCTTCTGCTGGACTGATGGATGGCAGCACCTAGAGGTCAGTGCCAGGCATAGGATGATGATAATGGAGATTTTTGGACTTGCCCTGGAAATTGAAATGTTCTCTCCACAGAACAGATACAGCATGGACAACATCAGGACAAACTGGCCCCACCACACCAGCACACCTCACCGCCAATTAGGGGAGAGAGGGAAGCTCTCTCTTTCTCAATGGTGCATCGAGTCTTCTGCCTTTCTAGATGCTAATCTGTGGCAGTGATTTTAATAATCCAGTAATATTTTTGGGACGTGGCTCCCTGCCCACTGGCAGTTCCACCACAACCCCAAAATAGTTTCACATCAGCTACAGAACAGTCTCCAGATGGGAAAGGAGCAAACAGGTCATGGAGGGCAGGTGTGCATGGAAAGGGTCCAAATTACCAGGTTAACGAGACTTACCTAGGGAGAGCGCAGCTATGAATGCTGTCATCACGCTGCTCGCACACAGCACTGCAGCCTGATTCAGCTCTACATGCCCCTTGGAGAATGCTCCCAGGATGACAGCAGCTATTGCAGCCAGCAGCCCCACTACAGTGGCCTGTACCTGTTGGGCAAAAATCAGCAGGTAGGCAGTGTTCCATCTGGGGTCAGTGACCCCAAGCAGGAGAGTGTGATCTCACTGCTAACATGGCACTAACAAGACATGGAGATCATTTTGAAGCAGGAGGCTCCAAGTTATATCCCTGCTGTGAAGTTCTGGATAGGCACCCATTTTGTCATCATGGGTGTTTCAAAGGGGCAACGCAAGTGGAGCCCGGGGTCAGCTAGGGACTCCAGTTGATCACGGGCTCCCGTGGCACTGACAGCACCGCACAGCTGATCCTGTGCTTCTCTTGCACTGCTCCTTTGAAACACCACTGTGACATTTCAAAGGGGCAGCGCTGCATGGAGCTCCTTTGAAATGCCGCAGTGGGATTTCAAAGGGGCAGCACTGCATGGAGCCACGGGTCAGTTGGGGACTCTAGCTGATCCTGGGCTCCCGAGGCACTGCCCCTTTTAAACTCTGCTGCAGTGTTTCAAAGGGGCAGTGCTGCACAGTTGATCCTAGGCTCCGCTCATGCTGCCCCTTTGAAACACCACTGCAGCATTTCAAAGGGGGCAGCGCTGCGCACTGAGGGACTCCAGCTGGGGACTCCAGCTGATCCTAGGCTCCTGCGGCATTGTCCTTTTGAAGCGTCATGGCAGCGTTTCAAAGGGGGCAGCGCAACGTGGAGCCCAGGATCAGCTGGAGTCTTATTATTGTTTAACAGCACGATTAATCATAATTTATTTTTTAAATCGCTTGACAGCCCTATTCCTGGCTCAACAAAATGTAGAATCCCTATCCGCAGAAGTGCTGCCGATAGCTGAGAGAAAAGACGTGAAAGGGTGTGCAAAGGCATTGTGTAGTACAAATGCTATTAGCATGGAAGCACACCCATTATACCACTACATGCAACCTCAAGGTTAATCACAGGATTTTAATGCAGAATTGCCGGAGTCAATAGGGTTTACATAGGGGCAGATTCCATGCCACTAATAATAAATTATCTGACACAGCCAGCAGGAGATGTGTGCTCCACAGTCTAGCCCAGTATGACTTCCCAAGAGGGAACAGCCTAAAAGGGCACAGTTTAACAAAAGAAAGGAGCCTTTTCCAGCTCCTTTTGGGGTAGTTTACCTGAATCAAGGCCAAATTGCAGGTAGCCATTTTCCACTGTTCCTGGGTATCATCCATCTGTCCAGTGTTCGCCTGGAAATCAAGAGAGAAAGTGAAAGGGCTGCTGTCCCTCTGGCACTGGCAACACCCGAACATAGCAAGAGGGTTTCACTTGGACCCTCAGAAGGGGCAAGGTAAAGCCAGCATGACTACAGATGCTAGCCAGTGTCCCCAGTCCTCTTAACCTCCCCCCCTTCTCAGTAATAAGAATTCCCTTGCCCTAGCCTCTGACAGGCATCAGAATTCAGAGCTTTTCTCTTGAAGGCAGGTAGGATATCAGCAGACATGCTGGGCCAGACTTTCTAAGGCAGGTACTTGAGCTATTATGTACCATGTCTGCATGAGCAGATCCCATATGTGAGTGCCCACCGAATGCCAACATCCCAGTGCAGACTGTATGCACAAATGTGCAAATTCCACAGTGCACAGCTCAGGCACCTGCCTTTAAAATGCTGATCTACAGTGTCAGGAGCTCAGGGCTGCCATGGGACAGAAAAACCACCGTTTAGTCACTTCTTACAGGTAAGGGAGGCTGGCTCTGGCCTTTGACAGCACCCATAGATCTTTGGTACCCTCATGAGTGGTAATGTTGATGGAAACCACTGAGGGGATTGTGCTGTGCAAACAGAAGAGAAATTACACTATTACAACCCCCCCCCCCCCAAACAAACAAACAAACAAAAAAACCAGCCTTCTCCCCACAAGGGAAAAAAGACCTTTCAGAATAAGACTCGTGAAGGAACAGGCTATATGCACTAAATAATCTCTTCCATTTTCAGGCTACTTAGGGAAAACCCTGAGGCAGGGAAAACCCATCTGTGCCTCTCCCTTTGAAATGGACAAGAGCCATATTTTAAAGGGAGAGCCGTGGGTGGCTCTTGTACATTTCAAAGGAAGAGGCACAGTGGGACAGTGAGTGCCCCCCTTATCGACTAATAGAGTAGTCGATGAAAATTCTATCAATTACTCAATTAGTTGATTAATTGAAATGTAAAATCCCTATGTCCAAGGGGCAGATTTGTATTATGGGCATTCCCCAAACCAACAAAAGGACTCCCAAAGGACAGGTCACGCCACTGCCAGTGGGGCTAGATCATGCCATGAGTTGCAGAAGCTACTGAAGGTGTCAAGACGCCTTGGAAAGATTAGTCTGCTTGGACAGCTCACTGCCAAGAATGGTCAGAGGACACAGTGAGGGGCAGCTCAGAAGTGCAGTTCATAGTCCATCATCGGTAGCCACTGTGCATACAGCCTATGTACTCTTTAGCCTCTCTCAAGTTTTGCAACACTCTCTGACACCGGCAGCTGGACACTCATGGATGAATTATCCTTTAAGAACTGAGCAGTTACAGAGTCAGGCACAAATCTTATTTAATACAAGATGTTTCAGGGAAGGGGAGGTATCAGCTTAGCAGGGAAAGGGATGTGGTCTCTGCTCTATATAGGGCGTGTCTAGACTACAGGGTTTCGTTGACAAAACTATACCTGCGTCTATACTACCGCCGCGTTCTGTCGACAGTACGTCAACAGAAAGCGGCAGTTTTATCGACGGTGGTAAACCTCATTCTACGAGGAATAACGCCTTTTTTCAACTGTACTCTGTTGAAGAAAGGCGCTATTGCACGCAAACTGTGCTTTTCAAAAGAGCGCGTCTAGACTCTCTGTTCAAAAAGCACCTTGCTTTGTCAACAGTACTGGTTGTAGTCTAGATGCTCTTTTTCGACAGAGGCATTGTCGACGGTACCGGTTGACAAAGCCTCTGTTGAAAAAAACCTGTAGTCTAGACGTACCCCTACACAGCGAAGAGGACGGGGTCTTTGTCTCTCTTGGTCACACACATAGTGGAATCTCTATCCCTAGAGGTTTTTAAATCCCCTCTTGACAAAGCCCTGGCTGCGATGATTTAGTTGGGGTTGGTCCTGCTTTGGGCAGGGTGCTGGACTCAATGACATCCTGAGGTTTCTTCCAGCCCATGGATTCTATGTACACATAAAAGTAGGTCCTATTGCTAAAAGGATTCCTTCCTGTTCACTCCTCCACACTCCCCCTTTACACTTACAGCAGTAGACAGTCTGGATGCTAGGGTCATTTCAAGGTTACCCTTCAAGCCAACCAGTGCAGGAACCAGGATAAAAACTTCTGTAATTGTTCGAAACACATCCCAGTGCTAAAAAGGAAAGCAACACAATGAATGTCAACCTCATCTAATGCCATTCTGCTTAGTCCATTTTGAGTGGGTGTGTGTTCCCCCCACCCTTCTGTCCTAAGCCATATGGCATACAATTCAAACAGCTGATGTGTTCCACTCCAGAGGCAGCTGTAATCTGGTGATGGGTGAAGAAATTTTCAAGTGTACAAAGTGTTCTATGATCTCTTGGGCAGAGAGGCACTATATAAATATGAGATTATTAGTAACTATTATCCAATAACGTGAATTATTATTAATTGATATTATCCAGTGTCTCTCAACAGTCAAGACAAAAAGAAATTTTTGAACAAGATATAAAAAATACTTGTGTTTTAAGGCTTAAAACAATTTCTATTAGGAGGCAACCTTCTCGGAAGAATCTTCCCACTCTGGGTTTCTGGGAACTTCCTCGGAGACATTGTGGTGCTGTGCACTATTGAAGACCGGATGCTGACCTGGATGGACCGTGTGTCTAATGCAGTATGGCAATTCCTATGTTGGATGTTTCGATGGCTGCCTTGGAATTAAGTTACATAAAGTGGAAACTTCAAATCGTAACGTTCTTTAGGAGCTGAAAGCTCAAGTAGCTTCAATGACTGATGCAGAAATATTGTCTCTAAATACTAGAAGATTTACCTGGCAAGATTTACCTTAACTCTATGAATTTTTGTTTTTTGGAAAATAAAATGAAAATGTCCATGCTTCGTTTAAATCATTGTTCTGGGGTGGGGCGGAGAGATTCAGTGGGCAGGCTGCATTGGGGAGAAAGGACTACCTCAGCCTCTCACTGCAGCAGGTTGGGGCCAGATGAGATGCATCTTTCCATGGCACTGCAACTCCAGTGGGCACAGCTGGGGGAGAGGCGCATGTCCCCTGGGTGGGGCAGGTCCAGGTTTGTCTGCCCCCTGCACTCCCTAGATAGAAAGAGGAATGCAGCAAACTGCACTTTCCCCTCACTCCCTGATGAAGGGAAACAGCCAGTAATGTTCCCCATACAAATGGGGGAGGCTGAAGGTTCAGCCCCTCCTTGCCCTTCTGAAAGGGTGCTGGGGGTGTGCGGGAAGCTCGGGGCTGGAGTAGTCCTGGAGTTGGGGGTGCCACTAGCCTGCTCCTTTCTCCTGCCTGGTGATTCTGTCTCTTCTCTGTATGGTTCTAGAAGCATTCCCATTCCACGCACATCCCATTCCTGTAGCCAAGAGAGGTCCTATCAGAGTGAAATGACAGACTAGACAAGCTTATCAGAATGTTCTGAAGTCTGCAGAGCTATTTTGAAACTGATCCATGTGCTGTAGCGAGAACCCATGTCAATTGCTGTGGGAAATCTGATTATGGAATAAACTGGGAGGTAAACTATCAAAGTCCCTTCCAAGCTCTCTTCCACGTGCATTGACTTTGCATTGTTGTTCAGTGGAGCCAGCCCAGAATACAAGGATCAAATTCAGCCTTGGAATAAGCGGATGCAACTTCCAATGGCACCACTGTCCTGAGATCGGTGGCCCAGCATTTCAACGGACATTAATTCAGCTGAAGACAGAGAGAGCTGCTGGTGCTCAGAACCTTTGAAAAATCAGGCCAAAGAACAGAGCCTATCTTTGGGAGCTATGGACAATAACCAGCCCACGGGCTGAATGTGGTTCACTAGGTTAGTCCCTGGTAGGCCGCTGGCACTTTATTTACCTGTGCCTCCACAGGTACAGGCGCTTGCAGCTCCCATTCACCACTGATCGCTGTTCCTGGCCAATGGGATCTGCAGGATGCAGCGCAGACTGGGATGCTGCTTCCCACAGCTCCCATTGGCCAGGAATGGTAATCCACGGCAAATGGGAGCTGCAAGCAGCCGTACCTGCGGAGGTGCAGTAAATAAAGTGCTGGCAGCCTGCAATGGCTAACGCCCTGTCTACTGGCTGGTTATTGCCCACTGCTGCCAAAGATAGACCTAATTTAATACGTGAGCAAGTGATGGGTAAAACATCATTTCTGATTCTCTTGCAATGGTGACCTGGATAAATAAGCTAGTGGATGTGAAGAGCAAATGTGAGAGTGGAAGGCATACTAGTCAGACAACCTGAGTGTCGTCAATTTTTATTTGATTTTAATACCTAACTCAAACACCTGAAAAACCTTTGAGGAAAAAAAAAATCTCTGTTAAAGATTCAAACACCCCTCTGCCTCTTTAACAGGTAAGAAAGCTTCCAATACACAACTGATCCTGCCAATGAGTCCTGTTTGTTTGTTTTTTTTCTGGAAGAGAGACCAGACTTGATCTTTTTAATGTACAAAAACAGGCATAACTTTACCACCTTCCACTTCACCTCCCCCAGGCTTGCTGGTTTTATACATAACTAAGAGGCTGCACTTCCTGCTCCCTACGCTTGCCAACCCCCCTCCTGCCTCCCCAGAGCACTGGGGAAGGGGGAGGCTGCATGGCTCCTGCCTCCCAGGAGCACAGGGGAGAAGGGAGGGGGAGGCTGTGCAGCTCCCAGCCCTCCCCCCAGAGCATAGGGGAAAGGGAGAGCACATGGTTCCTCCCCTGCCCCAGAGCACTGGGCAGGGAGGAGGCTGAGGGGCTCCCCCCACCCCGAGCACCAGGAAGGGGGGAGGCTGCACAGCTCTGGTGCCTCCAGAACACCAGAGAGGGGAGAAGCCGCTTGGCTCCTGCCCATTCCCCCCCACCCCCCACCCCAGCACCACAGAGGAGAGAGGCTGTGTGGCTCTAGCCCCACCCCCTGCAAGTGAGGAGGTGTCACAGCTTTAGCCCCCCTGAGGTGGAAGGTCATGTGGCTCCAGCCCCATGGAGTACTGGGGGGGGAGGGAGGGAGGAAGGGAGGAGGCAACTGAGGGAGGGACTGTGGTACACAGAGTGATGTGATGATGTCACGGTCATTCCACAGGAAAAACGTTTTTGCTATACAGAGAGAGAAAAGAACCTCAGGGATGGTATGTGGTCCTGCTGTGAGGGCAGGGGACTGGACTCGATGACCTTTCAAGGTCCTTTCCCATTCTATGAGATAGCTGCCAAAATGGAAGTAGGCCTATTACTGACTTTAAAAAAGTATCAATGGCACGCAGGTCGTCAATAGAAATGAATACGTTAAATCTTGGCACGCCACTTCTGAACGGTTGCCGACCCTTGTGCTAAGTCATATTCTGTAGCACAGGGGGTGATGGTAAAGAAGGGAAGCTCCTGCAAGACTGAAAGGTAGGTCAGTGCCTTGGAGCAGAGCCAAAGCAGGTCGACTGGCAGGGCACAGCACAGCACAGGATACGCTGTTGCAATTAGCCATTCTTTCCCAGTTGCTCCTCACATCATATTCCCTTGAACCCAAAGCATTCTTCGCATCATTGTTTTCCTTGCTTGAGTGACAGAGCAAGACTTCCCCTCTCCCCCCTAAAAACAGAGCATTGCCTATACTTAGCTGACGCTGGGGTACAAGTGCCAGAGAATACTATAAACTCCAGGTTGCTCTGAGCACTTTCCGTAACAGCGGGGAGCCATCTGAAAGCAGCAGCAGCTGTGTCCACATTCTGATTTGTAAATCTACCTACATAAGATACTCAAAAAAGATCAAAATTTTGAGTTTCTAGTAGTGCCGCCAGCACAAAGGAAAGCTAGATTTTGATTTCAGACAAAGCAGTGAAAATCCAGCACAACTCTGTTGAAATCGAGGGGAGTTATTCTGAATTTATACCTAAGTAAATGGGATCAGAATGTGTCTCAGAAATGTTTAGATTTCAGTCTTATTTTCTCATTCTGTGCCTATCACCAGAGTAGCTGAGTGACTTCAAGATTAAAGACTAATCAAGGATACTAGAGGTTATTTTCAAAGAACTGAAATGATAAACTTTCTTCAAAACATGAACACCAGTTACCCACAGCTCTCACTTGGAACTTTCTCATTGGTGATCTCTGGGGGACAGAATAAGTATCATACAATAGATGAATATGCTGTAGCATCTGTTTGATACCCATACTATAGCCTGATGAACTCTCATACACGTTGCCCCAAAATGGGTGGCTAGACAGAATAGGAGGAACTCTTCTACTGTATCTAAGGTACTGTCTGTCCAGCATCCCATCCCTAAATACAAAGCTAAACACCCAGCCTTAGTCACAAACCTTCTAATATACAGGCAGTCCCCGACTTACGCGGATCCGACTTATGTCGGATCCGCACTTACGAACGGGGCTTTCTCGCCCCGGAAGTC